AGAGCGAGCGCGCAGCTGGACAGCATAGTGGTTAGACTACACGCCTTTGGAGCAGAGGATCACCAGTTCGATTCCCGCCTGGGCCATAAGGGTCCTAAGGCTAGACCCCCTATGCTAAGCAAACCTATCGCAGATAAGTATCGGTTAATTGTATTTCCGTAACTGCAAATACTGTGTTATTTTCTTTTTTCAATAAAAATATTTACAAAAAAAAAAAGGTTATAGCCTTATAGTTATAGCCTTCATCGAGTCCTCAGTGCTTAGGCTCAGTTCACCTTAGAATAACAACACATTTGCTCTGTGTGATTAGCCCGTCATAACTGGCAGATCTCAGGCCATCTATCAGTGTTTTCCTAACCACTTATCCAACTGTCATAGCATAGCAGACACGGTACAGCAGACACAGCCACCAGAGAGAGACAGTTTTTCACTCTCAATTCCACATCTACAACTGATTTATAGTCAACCTAACAAGCATGTTATCATACTGTGGAAGACACATCAGCTCCCAGAAGAAGTTTGAACCCAGAACCTTCTTGTAGTACGGTGACACTGCTAACCATTGTACCACACTAATCTCAGGGCAAACCTGGTATTTCCTTGTTTCTCACTTCAGCAGCACTTACATAAACAATTAATGGTTAAAGAGTGTCATCTAGTGGTAAGAATTTAGTAAAGGTTAACTTTAAAAGTAAAATTCTAAAAATTGGACCAAAATGAGAACCTTTAAAGTTCACAAAGTCACATTATAATGTGTATAAATGTTTAAAACATATTCAACCATTTAAAAGAAATTTACTTTCTAATCTCATGATACATCAGTGGAGTTCTCTATGTGTCTGCTATGCCCTCCGGTCATTTGGCCACTTCATGAAAGAAAGCTGCTCTTGCCTGTCTTTGTTGCAGTTCTCTCACACCTCACGCCAGAGCTGAACGGGATTATGCTTGTTTGCAAAATTCCATGTAATTAGCTCCAGCAGTAAGTGCCCCTTTCCATTTAGTTACCGAGCTAAGACATGCATGTTGATTCAGGATTACTTATAGTGATCTTGGGAGTTGAACTGTGGCAAACCTGTGGGACCTGCTCTGTTCTGTTGTGTTTGGTTAAATTCGCCTGTATGTTAGCAGAAGCTTTTGTGGCCAGACAGGGAGTGTAGGCTTTGTCTTTGCGTAGGCTTTGACATGTAACTTAGTGCTTCTTTTCTTTTTTAGCAATAAAAATAAGTGGGTTTTTTTCTGTTTACTTTATTATTGTAAATTGATTGTAAATAAATGCCTTGGTTGTTCGGCAATCTTGTATGGATGTTTGTGATTTGGTCTGCTGGTATGTTATGTTACACTCCATGTCCTCCATAAACTGCAGATAAAAGCCCTGTAGATATGCAAGTCAGAGATGATTGTAGGTTTATAATCTTGAGTTAATATCACTGGTTTAAAAGAAAAAAAAAGAGGATATCAGATCATCCCCAAAGTAAATGTATGTACATTCTGAGTAATAGTAATATTAAGTTTGGACTTCAAATTATTTCTTTCAACTGTTCCTTTTCCAAGGGTATAATTGTATAGAACACATCTTGAATGACTTTAAAAAACAAAAACAAAAAAAAACAATTGGGTGCACAGGTTTGGATTTTCTCTAATCCACACTGGGTCAAAAGTATACATACAGGATCAAAAATATACACGCAGAAGTTTTTCAATAAATGGTGCTGAATGTTCTACGGTGTATTTTAACCTGACAAGGCCAAAACCTCTTAACTTCTCCTTAGTGATCATGATTGACTACAACTGGTAGTTTCGCTTTGCTAACACAAAAATAATTTGTTTTACAGCACTCATTGGAGTCATCAATACTCAGAACAATGGGAAAGTCAAAGGAACTCTGTGAAGATCTAAGAAGCAGAACTGTAGATTTACACAAATTAGATACTTTTCTTGGAGCAATTTTAAACCACTGTGGACTCCAAAATCGTCAGTTCAAACAACTCTATGTAAATACAAACTACTTACATATGCTAGCACTTTGCCAAGGTTTGAATGAGGATGGAAACGAGGAATCACCAAGGCACAAGATTGGTCATGAACTAGAAATTTTTCGAACACCACTGTTCATTTCCACGGTGAAGTGACTTTTATACTGCAAAGGACTGGTGGTAGCATCATGCTGCCAGTGATACTGGTAGATTGCATAAAGTGGATGGAATCAAATAAGCAGCCAGAATTACGCCACAAACCTTATTGTTGTTTTTCTTTTGTTTGTTTTAAGTCATTCAAGATTTGTGCTGTACAATTATTCCACCCTATAAAAGCAACAAGGTTAAAGAAATCATTAAAAGCCCCAAATTCATGTTCATGAACGTATTTAAACTACTTTCCTTGAGTCACTTAGTATATAATGGTTTATTTTTAATATTTTAAGTCAATGCTCCTAAGAATGTACAAAAAACCAAGAGAAATCACACACTAACTGAACGCTATTTCAGATTTTGGTTTAAAAGCTTAATTTCCCCCTCCCCGTTGTATTATCTATATATTTTCTGTTGTTTTTAATTGTGATCTTTCTATTTAATCTTCCAAAACTTCCAGCAGCCCTTGCACACTGGTGACATTATGCCATTGAACTGAAACAAATCCAGATTTTACTCTGTTCACCTGTTGTATTCCGGGCTCCATCCTTCCAGGTGTCAGGAGTGATGACCTTACCGAGCTTCTTCTCACCTGGAGATAAAAAGCAACCCAGCATATGTAACAAAAACAGCGCAGTGGATTTAAAGGAAATAAGCCTAGAAGGTGAAGGTATGTTTTCCTCAACCAAAACAACAGTGAGGACAGTAATAACAACAGTTAGCATCACATAGCGTTAGCCAGCTTTCTAAGGATCATCGAGCTACTCTTAACGGGAAAAAAGACATTAGAATTGAAGATCTAAAATAAATTTAATGATAGAAGAATGGCGAGATACCTACACTTTTCACAAACCATTGTCCTTTTTTGTTTGGTAAAATAGAAGCTGAAGCGTTAGCTGCGTTTAGCTTTCTCTGTTAATGTAAACTTCCGGTCGTTACTTCCGTTTCCTTGCAGCTCGCAAGCGATTGATTGGTCAAAGCCTAGATTTCAAATCTCAGATGCCATTGGTTAGTTGTACTGCCCTTCGGCGAGGGTCCAAGTAAACCGTTTTGTAATTGGTTGCAGTTTCCCTTGTTCATCTGTAAAGTGGACGAAAACGTCTAAGTTTTCTTTAAAAATTAAAAGTTTGCTGCTGCATTATTTCACACGTGTGAATATAACGTGTGAAATATAACGTGAAATACGTGTGAAATAATTAAATCCAATAAATAATAATAAAAAAAAAACTTTTAAAGCTTACAAACAGTAGGCGACTGTAGCAGTCAAGCAGAGACAGTTTAAAGAACACTGAAAAATCTCGTTTTTCTATTTGCTGTCAGAATAACGTTATAGCAGTGAAAGTAGAAAAAGAATGGCCCTCACTGATAAATAATGGTTCACATCTAGCTACATGTGACAGTGTTCACATGTTCTGATTAAATGGGGAAACTGATTAAATAAAGGATTGTGTTCAAACAAGTATACCACAAACATACAATTTGTTTTCAACCAAAATAAATCTGAGGTAAAAGGGGCTTAAAACAAAATCCACAATAATAATAAAATGAACGGTGATTTATGGATGTAGTAAAGGAGGATATGGAGAGGGTTGGTGTGACAGATGAGCAGGGTAGTGGTAGGATGAGATGGAGGCAGATGATCCACAGACCCATAAAGGGAGCAGCTGAGAGATCTGAAAATGGATTAGAAAATGTTCTACACAAATATAAAAACACAAAAGTCTCAATGACTACTTTGTCACTTTGAATTGAATTACACTGGACCGATTGCATTGGCCCAGGTCTCACATGTGAAAGATGAGAAAAGCCCATCTCCCACCAGCCATTCTCACCACCTACTACAGAGGGAGTGTCGAGAGCATCCTGAGCAGCTGCATCACTGTCTGGTATGGAAACAGCACCGTGTTAGATCGCAAGACCATACAGCACAAAGTGAGAAAAGATCATTGGAGCCTCTCTTTCCTCCATCACAGACACTTATTGAACCTACTGCATCCACAAACCTACCAGCATTGTGGAGGACCCCACACACCTCTCACACCTCTCACACACACTCTTCACCAACCTACTTTCTGGCAAGAGACACCGGAGCATTCACGCCCTCACTGCCAGACTGCGAAACAGTTTCTTCCTCCAAGCTGTCAGACTCCTGAAAACTCAGAGACTAGACTGGCACACACACACCTTTATACATTCCATTACCTCAAGTACTTATTGCACAATGCTAAAGTCTTTTTGCACAACACAATGTCATTATTGCACCATCTCGTTTCTGTATGGTTCTGCTCTATCTGGTGTTGCACTGTTTTTTGCCATTTTTGCACACTTGTACTTTAATTAGTCCTGTGTTGATTTACTGTTATATGTAGTGCCATGGTATTGGATGAAAGCTTCTAGTTTCACTGTGGCAGCAATAAATGTATACTAAATGCATGACTGTCTGTAATATATTTAAAGTTGTTAAAACTATAATTTACATTTATTGAACTTTGTCTTGCCTCATCTACAAGGAAGAAGTATTGCACTTTTATTTTGAAGTGAAAGCGGAAGTGAGCTTGGTTCCATGTTTACGGAAACAAGGTCAAGCGATTCATCTATGGATGTTATCTGTGCTACAATTCCAGCGTTACGTTGAGGTTTAAAGTGTTTTGTGTTCAATTTGTCGGTGTCCTGCTGTAGTTCGGTACAGCCTTCACAATGTGGGACCATGAAATCAGAGCCATGGCGTCCACTCACGCTATCATCGCCGCTTCGGTGTTCATGGCGACGGTGCTACCTGCTGTGCTCCTACCGGGCTTCTCGGTGTACGGCACACACCTGCTGTGGCTCTACTCGGTGTCCGCTGCGGTCACCGCGGTCAGCGTGGCCGTGTTCTGGCTGCTCGGGATCACACCGCCCGCCAAGAAGCACACGCTGGGATACAAGGTGCTGATAACGCTTTAATAACGATGGATTAATGCCCGCAGTGCCACATGGGCTGTTTTATTATTTTTTTTTAAAAGTACAATAAATGCAGTTTTTAAATGAGGGTTTCATTTGTTAAGGGGGAAAAGCTTTCCAAACCGACCTGGCACTGTGTGAAACACTAATTGCCTCATTCAAATTTTTTCTTGCTAGCCCACAGAATATTTCCCCAAAATTCTTAGGGGATGAATAAGATGCTGTTTGGCAAATATGAGACCAGCAGTGGTTTTGTCCTCGGATCTCTTCCATGGATGCTATTATTGCCCAGTCTTTGTTTGTGGATTGTGGTGTAATGTGTTCCTCTTAGACTATTTCACTTTGTCAACAGGCTCTGTTCAAGTGATGTTTTAATTCAACAGGTCTGGCAGTAATCAGGACAGGGTATGGCAAGTAAAATTGAAGTTGCCTTTCCAAAAAAAAGAAAAACATCTTGACTTATTTGTATATAAATTAATGTGAATACTTGACTCTTGCATGTTCATCAAACCAATATTTTTTTTTTCCCCAGGAATTGATCTTTTTATATCTGGATCTTAAAAGTTTGACTGTTTTCTCGCTGTTTTTTTTTTTTCTGCAGCTGTCGAGGTTGCTTCGCTCCTGCCTGTACTTCTTCCTGTCGTGCCTGTTCTTCCACACTGTTGTCGTTTTATACGGAGCTCCACTGATCGAGTGAGTTATTGTTTTGTGAAACAGAGGTTGATAAAGAGAGACGCAGAGAGTAGAGATCACGACAGTAATACACAATAAACTGAGGATCCATGGAAGGATCACACATAAATGAATGAAAACAGCTGGCAACTACAGAAATCTGGATTCTGTCACTTATACAAAGTCAAGTGTTTTACTTTGTCTCTGCTTGCTTTTTATGTGCGTTTTAAAAATTCTTTTTCTACAAAACTGTCAATAACTCTCTTATTGCAGTTGTCGTTGATACCTTGAACCTATCATTTCTTACAGATCTGCCTTAGAAACATTCTCCCTTGCTGTGTTGCTGACTTCGTTAACCACGCTGAGGTGTCTTTGTGTCCTCGGCCCCAACGTCCAGGCCTGGATACGAGTCTTCAGTCGTCATGGGTAAGGCTGAAATCATTTTCCTTCTCTTTCTTTCCTCCTGGCTTTTCACATGTCTCTGTGTCGAAGATAGTAACTGTTCTTGCTTTTTCTTTGTCTCCGGCTCCAGAGCTATGTCTGTGTGGGACACCTGCCTGCAGATCACTGTGGCCTGCACACTTGTTGGAGCCTGGGTTGGAGCATTCCCCATACCTCTGGACTGGGATAGGCCCTGGCAGGTAATTCTATGAATGGACAAAGCATATACTCATGGATTTGTATCCTCACATTAGGTCTTATACAGTCTGTGACCTAACCCAGCAAACATTTTGACTTTGAGTAATCGGTCGGCTTATAGTCCACATTTAAACCTGGTTCAAAAATTTTTCAGCAATTAAAAGTTGTGCTGACATTGCCTTCTGATGGACGTGTAGTTCTTGAACACTGCTTCGATTTTATAGCAAATGCACGTTTGTGTGCTTTTATAACTTTTATGAAAGATACCAAAAGAGAGACTTTAATTGTTACCTTTACTCCGAAGAGTATTTTATATCTCACTGGTCCTTTGTCAGTTTGTATGTTCTTGTCTCTCCAACCAGAGATATCAGTGTAGGAAACAAAGAAGAGGCACTAAGAGAAAGGAGTCAAGGCATTTTGCCATAATCAGACATCATTGCTTGGGAGCCTCAGTCAGCACCCATATCAATTAAATATGACCTGTAGCATGTGACTTTTTTTATGTTTAGGCTTGTTTTTCATTAAATTACATGCTACAGTTTAATAAAAGGGTTCCTGATATTTCCTCTACACAAATTCATATCATTTAGATCAAAATAACACAAGAAGTGGCTCAGTCAGTAGTCTGGCTGTGGCACTTCGTAAGCAAATTAGTTGGCAATGAAGGTACATTCAGTACTTTTTCTTTCCCCAAGTGTCGACTCAGCAGATGGATCTACGTGTTTAATTTGGCACAGAATTTGTGCCAGATGCCCTTCCTGTCACAACCTACACATTTATCTGAGCTTGTGACCCTGAGGTTGGGTTTGTGTCTTCTGGTCTGAAACCAGGGATCTTTTCCATCCCTGGTTTAATTTGTTAACCACTACAGCACGGAGAATCAAATGTCAATTTTTTTTTTTTTTTTGCAAATAACATGAATATTGCTTGCTTTGGAAGAGAGAGTCTGACTAAACCTCTAATCTACTGTATGTGGAAATATTCTCTATCCACAGTGCAGTTTTTGCTCTTAAGACCAGGGAACTAACACGACCATTTAAACCATATTACCCGCGAAACCATATTACTGGTTTCATTTTGATGAATGGAGGAGGTGGATGTCCTTGTGATTTCATTATTCCATTAAAAGTACCTTTAAAATGACCTTAAATGGGTACTTTTCTGCTTTGTTAGCTGGTGAGTAGCAAAAGTGTTGTAGAAGGGAAACAAGGAAGAGAAAACAACAGGAAAAAATTGGAATACACATGCATTAATAGCAGCAACATCAGGCTGATGCTCTGTAGCGACAGAAGTGAAGATTGTCTTTCAAAAGCATGAATGAAGTGATAGGTTGCTATGGTGATATAACACAAGTGTGCCAGAGGATGATACTGGGCACTAACCTGCATGAAGCTGGTGTGGTAGCTGTCAGAGTGAAAAAAAAACTGGTGTAAATTACACATTTTTTTTGTCGCTGATTTAAGTTCTTAACTTCCAAATTCTCCACGATGATTTTTCTAAGCACTGGACAGAGTAATCAGCCAATGAATAATGAATTAGATTGTTTTGTTTTGTTTAATGGAAAATGGAACACATTAAAGTTATAATTGCACAGGGAATTCTGTGTAAAATGACTGAGGGAAAATGCAGAGGTAATTGGGGTGTAACTCAAATTGACAGACTAATAGTTCGGCTTCTCTTTGATGTATCGGACCAGTGTCAAGCTTTTAGTCAACAATCATGCTCACTTCTCTACTACTTCTTTTTCTGTA